TGTGTGAGATAATATTCTTAATATTTTGAATGTTATTTTAAAATTGAGAGTTTTACGTTTTTTCATTTTGTATTAATGTTGAAATAAAATATAAACGACAGAAAATGATACGTAAGAAATTGTAATTAGTGTAACAATATTTTAATAAATTGAAAACCTTAGTTAGGGCAAGAAACAAAAGAGTCATACAACTACAATCCTCAAGGAACAAAACTCAAAACCAAACAAAACATATTATGTATACTTCTTTGTAGGAGATTTACTCTCCTCATATGAATACATATAGAATATGTAAACTTCACTAATGATAATGTTAAAATTCATTTATTTCTTTTTGGTTTACCTAGTTGATCATTATTCTTTCAATAAGTTGAACAAAAAGAAAATTAGTTTTAGCTAGTAAAAAAACAACTAAGTGTAGGAAACAACATAAAAATCTAAACAATTAAAACTTAAAATCAAGAGACATGACATGAATTAAGAACATAATAGACATGGAAAAAAAAACCAAAAGTCATAGATAGACTAAAAAATTAAATTCCTACTTTGATTGAGTCGTATGAAAGATTCACTAAAAAACTTTGATTGACTTTAACTAAAGATTGAAAAACATCATGTTATTGTTTTTGTTGTAAACACTTGTTTACAAATAATAAAATAATATTTTAACTATTTATTAATACCGCCTAGCTAACAAAAATATTTTCAGCAATTATTTATAGATTTTGATGGTGGTAGAATCTATTTGGAATATTTCATGTTTATGGGTATTATCTTTTGAAATATAACATCTTATCATTTATATGAGAATTGATTTTCTATAGCCACTAATTTTTATATGTTATGTAAATATAATTTCTATACAAAATTGAGTATAATATTAGGCAACTAAAATTTATTATAATAATTTTGTTATAAAAATTCGTTGATAATGTTTTTACAATATACTATTCGTTATTAATTTTTTTAAAATTTTGAAGTTGGTTGTTAATTTAAAAAAGAAGATCTGAAAATTGTTCTTAGTATTTTATTTAAAAAAACCGGAATAATATATTTTTTTAAAGAAAATAAATGTTGGAATGGTTGTTAAATTTAAACAACTTTTCGAAATAGAAATTATAATTTTTGAAATTTATTATGGTAATTCAATTTGTGTTAAAATATTAGTTAGAGATTTAAGACATGTCATCTTTTTTTAAAGACATATAATCATTTTCCTCCAATAAAATTAAAACAAATAAGCATTCTCACTAATTGTACTTCTCTTTTAATAGGAAGGAGATATAGATAGATTGATTAGAATCATTAAAAATTCGTTTAAATAGAAATTTCATAATATTTTCATAATATGTTGGATTGCTTAAAAAGTATTTTAAGATTGAGAAATGAGTATCTCTACATGGAATCGTTTCAATTAAGTTAAAGGTACAAAGCGTATTATTTAAAACGTATTGAGAAATTTTTTTTCAATTATATATAAAAAGTATTATATAAAACGTATTTTTGAAATTAAGATTTATTCAATTAAGTAAGTTATCTAATCAATTAGTTTAAGCCATGTCATAATTTTTTCAAGATAAATTTCAAAAAATGCCACTTTTCAAGTGCCACTTTACAAAAATGCCACACTTTTGAAATCTTTACAAAATGCCACTTTTTCAAAATTATTTTTTCATTATATAATTTATATTTGGGTTAACTATATTATATATGGTTTAGTTTTGAGTGTTTAGGGGGTTTTAGGTGTCAAAACAAATTTAGAATTTTAAGATATAGGTTTTATAAATCTATAATTAGTGATATTTTTGTAAATGGACACCTCTAAGTGGCATTATTGCAAATGTGCACACAAAAAGTGACATTTTTGTAATTGCCATTTTTTTCAAAGACATGTCATAATTTTGAACCAATAAAATTAAAACAATTAACCTATTTTACTAATTGTATTTGCTTTTTAATTGGAAGGAGATATTCTGATAATCTCAGTTGCAAAAGAAAAAAATTAGTTTTCTAATTCTAAAAAGCATGGATTAGTTTTTACTTATTTTTAAAAATATTCTTAAAACAAAGTGATCCGTTTTAAAAATATTTTATTTTATTTGATCAAAGATGAGAAGAGTGTGGTCACAGTGGACCGTGCATACCACACGGAAACGGTCAGATTACCACGAAAAGGTTATCTCTTGGAAGGCTTTGACACATTTCCTAAAACAAAATGAAACAAACCGCATGCAACACAATCCAAGTTCTACAATTTCACGAATTGAGAATCAAACAAGCTTCTTCTTCCTTCGATCACTTT